GAGCGGTTCGGGGTTTGTGATAATGGTCGTTGGCCACTGGGGGTGCTGGACTCTGAGGTGGAGGGCACTGGACTGTCTGAGCTGTTGCCCTGGAAACAAATTTAAAGAAGAGGCATTTGACAGTCTCCATGATCAGAACATTAATGGTTAGTCATCAAAAACAATAACAGAAAAAAACAGTTTTCCTCATTAATAAGCAGATTTTGTCATAAGTGTGGAATTGTACTATGTATTATTGTTGAGTGTTCACAAAAATGTCTGCTGAGTAACAGAGTAATAGAAGGTTTACAACTTAACAGTTCATGTGATCTTACATCCATTTGCATATTGCAATAGATCTACATAGCAGTATTAGAAAAACTATAATAATAATATTTCAACTTTAATATCCTGCCTAAGATTTTATTTGGCAGCATGTTGCAAATACTTTCTACAGCTTTAGACTATATAGTCAGCAGTTTCCTAACTATAAAATGTTTAATGATTCTTGGCTCGCCCCTCAGTGCAACAGAAAGAAGCCCTCATCATAGGCTCTCATCAATCACTTTGGTGGCCTGAAGAACAGTGGCATTCACATATGAACATCTGCCTGCTCACCAAAAACAATATGAACATGAACTAACATGTAAAAAGGCAAATTAGCTGCTTCATTTTAATTGTACACACTTCAAAGTATGTTTTGTCCCTAGTTCTTGTTATTTTATGACCATGCTGGGGGTTTTTTTTAGTATGTCTGACCTACCTGTTTGTCTTGGGGATGTGCTCTCTCTACGCTGGAGGATCGTGACGGCTGTAAGCTCCTTTCTTCTGAGTTACAACGAGATGTGTCTGGAGAGAGGAGGTGACAGCGCTCCTTGGACCGTCCACGCTCCCTGTCACTCTGCTTCCAGTGTTCAGACCGAGCAACTAAAAGGAGATTCAAGAGAGGAGACAACACAAAATGACAGATTAAGAGAAGAAGAAAGGGAAAATTGTGAGTAATGCTGCATAAAGACTTACAGAGGTGGACCCCAAAAAAATGAACAAAAAAAAAACAACCCTAAAACTATAAACTCATCATAAACATTCATCCCAGAACACTAGCCATTTATAAATAAAAGTTTGTCCATTTAAGTTGACACAACTATCTTGTTATGCCATTAATATATTAATTGTTTGGTTAATATCTTAACTTTCTCATCTTGCCAATGTTGATTTTTAGCTACTCTTTGTAACTGAGTCATGCTATTGATAAATCAGGAAAATAAAACCACAATAAGGGATCTTTTTGGCCACTAGGGAGAAGTGGGAACAAGCTGTAAACAGCATTTGTTTTATGAAGTTTGTTAGATTACCATTTTAACATACAGTTGCTCAATCACACATCCAGCAGACATGAAACAACATTAGCAATTATTTGGAGTAATATTTCTGGTCATGAGATGGATTTAACTTTGTAAAATGATTGCAAATGATGAGAAAGAAAGAAATATGTCATGCTGTACAGTCCATAAACCGATGTGGTATAGTAATAACAGGTGAGCAGGACTAACCAGCAGCCTTATAGCTCTTGTGACGAGGTCGATACACTCGCTCAGGGCTTTTCTCCTCTTGCCAAAGACCGTTCACCTGCTGTTCCCCAGCAGTGGAAGCTGAACGCTTCATGGAGCCACTTTCAACCTCCGTCTGCTTGTATGTAAAAACACGCACAGACAACCATGCAAACACAGTGCAATTCAGAAATAAGCAGACCATTACAGAGTAGAGACATAGGAGAACTGTTGTATTGATTTCATTTTAATTGATGGTCTGTCTAGCACAACGTTTATGTAGTAGGTGTGTGTGTGTACTTGTATTGCTGATGTTGTGCTTACAGAAGTGTTGTTGTCGAGCACTGACTGCGTTCAGACTCAGAAGTTGGAGACAAGGACTTGGACCATAATATTTTGGTATAAGATATTGACGTGATTTTCACACTGTTCACTTCTAGGTAGTATGTGTGTGTGTGTGCGTTTGCGAGTGCATTTGTTTAGCTATTGTGTCACACGTAGTAAGTAATCTCCTTTTAAAGTGTTGAGAGCTGTGTCAGTTGTGTTTAATGCAAACCTTGATGACTCTGACTTGGGTAATTGCTCTAATACTTAGCTGTAGGTATTCATGTTGTATGCCCATTTTTGTCCTCATTCTTACCAGATTTTCCTGTTGACTAGCATCAATGTCGGAGCTGATGGGGGGCATAAACAGTTCCTGGGGTGAGATTGGACTCAAAGCTACAAAACCTCCTCTGGTCCTGTATTAGGGCAGACAAAAAATAGTAGTCAAACAGAAAAAAAGTACACACAAAAGTACACAAATCTGCATGCATGCACAGACTCACAGGGCTGAACCCGCGCTATGAGCCATCATCGGCAGGGGCTGGGTGTTGGACAGAATATCCTCTGGGAGGGTTGAGGCATCCAGGCGCTTGAACATCAAGCTACTCTTCTGAAATGAGAGACAGAAAAACAACATGTCAAAGTTTTGTTCCAATTTTAATTCCAGCTTAGTCAGGCCACATTCCATACTTGTCCTCTTAGATCTCAGTGCTGCTTTTGACACCATTGATCACAGCATCTTACTGCAGAGACTTGAACATGTTATTGGGATTAAAGGAACTGCGCTAAGTTGGTTCAAATCTTATTTATCAGAAAGATTTCAATTTGTTCATGTTAATGACGAATGTTCCACACAAACTGAAGTTAGTCACAGCGTTCCACAGGGCTCTGTGTTAGGTCCAATTCTCTTCACTTTATACATGCTCCCTTTAGGCAATATTATCAGGAAGCACAACATAAATTTCCATTGCTATGCAAATGATTCTCAGTTATATTTATCTATGAAGCCAAATGAATCAGGTCAGCTGGTCAAACTTCAAGCATGTCTTAAAGACATAAAGGCCTGGATGACCTGCAACTTCTTACTTCTAAACTCTGACAAAACTGAAGTTATTGTGCTTGGGCCTGAAAACCTTAGAAATCTGCTGTCTAATCATATAGTTACTTTAGATGACATAGCTCTTGCCTCCAGTACTACTGTGAGGAACCTGTGAGTCATCTTTGATCAGAATATGTCCTTTAAATCACACAAAATCCAAGTCTCTAGATCTGCCTTCTTTCACCTGCGCAATATTACAAAAATCAGGAGCATCCTGTCTCAAAGTGATGCTGAAAAACTGGTCCATGCATTTGTTACTTCCAGGCTGGACTACTGTAACTCTTTACTATCAGGATGTCCCAATAATTCCCTAAAAAGCCTCCAGTTAATCCAAAATGCTGCAGCCAGAGTACTGACAGGAACTAGCAAGAGAGATCATATCTCTCCCATATTAGCTTCTCTCCACTGGCTCCCTGTAAAATTCAGAATAGAATTTAAAATCCTTCTCCTAACATACAAAGCCCTTAATGACAAGGCTCCATCATATCTTAAAGACCTCGTAGAGCCTTATCATCCTAACAGAGCACTTCGCTCTCAGAGTGCAGGTTTACTTGTGGTTCCTAGAGTCCACAGAAGCAGAATGGGAGGCAGAGCCTTTAGCTATCAAGCTCCTCTCCTATGGAACCAACTCCCAGTCTCAGTTCGGGAGGCGGACACCCTCTCTACCTTTAAGATTAGACTTAAGACGTTCCTTTTTGATAAAGCTTATAGTTAGGGCTGGATCAGGTGACCCTGAGCCTTCCCTTAGTTATGCTGCTATAGGCCTAGGCTGCTGGGGGCCCCATGATGCTCTGAGTTTCTTTCCCCTCCCCTCCTGCTCTCCTCTCCTCTCCTCTCCTCTCCTCCCCTC